AATGATGGTACAGCCACTAATCATGGAATTCAGAGAACTTGAATTGGAGAAGTAGTAATTGCATAGAAGGGAAACTGGAAGAAAAGCAAAACTTGTATAAGGAAACTTGATGGTCCTGGGTTAAGGAACAAATTCTCAAGAATGACACAAATGGTATGAATGGTAAAATAAAAGGTTGATAAATTTAATTTCCCTAAAATGAGAAACTTCTTTTTAAATGTTTCTTAATTTTTTTTTGAGACAGAGTTTTGCTCTCATTGCCCAGGCTGGAATAGAGTGGCACTATCTCGGCTCACTGCAACCTCTGCCTCCCAGGTTCAAGAGATTCTCCTGCCTCAGCCTCCCAAGTAGCTGGGATTACAGGCATCCACCACCACACCCAACTAACTTTTTGTATTTTTAGTAGAGATGGGGTTTCACCACATTGGCCAGGTGGGTTTTGAACTGCTGACCTCGGGTGATCCACCCAACTCGGCTTTCCAAATTGCTGGAATTACAGGCTTGAGTCACCGTGACCGGCTGGAACTTCTTTTTATAAATAAATGTAATAAAGAGAAGAAAAAGACAAATTACCTCAGGGTGAACTTGAAGAATAAGATGGAGAACATTAGGCTTTTTGACTGAGCATTGCTTGCTAATCTCTAGGCCTCAGGTGGCTTTTCAGAGAGTATTAAGCTTAGGCAATTTTGAAAGGAAACCAGGCTGGGTGTATCTGTAATGGGCGGGGGAAGAGATGGCCATGAGAAGGAGAGGAGATGGAGGGAAATAACAACATTTAAAGGAGACTCAAAGGATGTTTTTGGTGCCAGAGATGCGATAAAGAAATGTGGTATCTATGACATGAGTTAAGAATGGTTTTGAAATAGTATATATCCTCTGAGGATAATGCTGGGGTAAATTACAAAAGATTCACCTAGTCTGTGGAGGAGTTGGAGTATTGAAAATATCTATATGAACTTCCAAACTTACCGATTAAATGGGATGATAAATTCAGGTGATAAATTCAGGTGGGAACATCTTTAGAGCTCATATATTAGAAATACATTCTGTAAAGCGTTTTCCTTTTTTAATTTTCTGTGAAGATTTCTTCCTGAAACACGATTGGACTTTTAAAGCACAAGATACTATGTTGCTAGCAAATTCCAAAACAGAAACCTAGAATTTAAAAATTGTAAATTTGCTTATATATTTGGTAATTTACTAATGTGGCTCAC